TTTAACTTCCATCTAATTTAGCCTAGAACATTATTCAAGTATCTCTAGCACTTTATGTTAATGCTCCTTATTATTTCTTTTTGCTCGGTATCCAATTACATTGCGACTTGGAACTTACAAGCAATTTGTCAATTGGAAAGGCTAAAATGCCAAGTATTTTCTACCACTCAAATCCTGAAAGCACAAATTCAACAGTGTGATATGGAAAAATGCAATAAAATTCTCCGATTTGATTCTCATACAATTCCTTTATAAGGCGAACTTGGAAAGAAACAATAATAGACTGAGCAATATAATCTTCGGTCACAGATCCTCACGACGAAAGCTTTAATGGAACAGATGGCTAAGATTCTTACTGAAAAATGTATATTTAGAAGCAAACCATTTAAGACACTTTACCATATACATATCAAAATAAATTATTAATTTCACTAACAATTGCTTCATCTTCCCATTCAAAATAAATCATTAATTTTATTAGCAATTTGTAGAGCACAACAACATTAATTTTAAAATAACAATTTGTAGAGCACAACAATTGCTTTATCTTCCAATTCTAAATAAATCATTAATTTTATTGACAATTTGTATAAGGATGCTTTATAATATACCTTACTATTTCTAAATTTAAATTATTGTTAAGTTCATTATCACAACAACATTAATTAGCAAAAAACAATTGCACCACGCAAAAAACAATTGCACCACGTGCGACGCACGTGCAATTTACTAGTTTCTGAAAAAGCTCACTGCAAGACCTTTTTGAGAAGAGAAGATCCGAAAAATAACATGTCAACATAATTTTTTAATAAATAAACTATACAATCCGTTATTTGTTGAACAATTATTTACAAACAACCAATACAATCCGCTAATCAAATCAGCTATTAGAATTTACTATTAGTCAATACAATCAGTTATCCGCTATCAGCTAATAGTCAGTCAAAGCGGGCCCATATCTTCTACGTATGAAGTAAGTATACAATAATGAATAGCATATAGCTACATTATTATGCATTATAGAAATACTATATGTTGATTTTATTGTTACATATTTATTATTAATAATCAACAAACCACAAAAATAGAACAAATTGTAGAGTAAATGGTAGGAGAAAATGGAAATTCTGGTTGGAGATTGCCAGAAATGATATATTTTGTGAAACTTTTTGGTATCTAAAACTCTTTGCAACTCATATTTAGAACTGAAATGTGATCAAAATTAATTACACCAACAAAACTATACTCTACACATATCCACCTTATGGCTTAAACTAAGCATAATTTGGAGTTCATACAAAAAAGAGTGCATTGAATATGAATATTAGATTCTACTTGATACTCAAAAGAGCTAATAAGGCTTATTCATTATCATGACCGATTACGTTTAACTGAACCAGAAACGGGTACATCAGTTTATCGATGATAAGATCTTGACCATTTCTTGGGTCCAATCTCTCTTATCCTTCAAGTTCCTTCAGAAAATCTGCATTGTCGACCAGAACCTACATATACATAGAAGAAAAATGTCCATTACAAAGATGGTTCAACACGGATAAATCGATTACCTAACCATTGTACAAAACAAGATGAAGTGAAAGTGTTGAAATTTTTTGTCAACTCAAACTACAGATTAATGAGCCAGATTGTCAATAGCTTCACCAAATAATTTATTACCGCAATAGCAGATAGAACTAGTTTAGAAGATTCAACAAATAAAGGAACATGGCAATTTAACAGGGAAATTCCATTACAGGACTCAACATTTTAAAATTTTATAAATTTAAGGCCTGAATTTTATTCTTTCTTTCTTAATAAAAGGTTTGAATTTCAGTTTATTCTCAATTTAAGGTTTACCTTTTAATTTAACTTCTCAATATAATGTCCAACTAGCTTGACTTTTTGACATACATATGTAAACCATAATATTAATTTTTATAATCTATATTTACATATATTGATAACAAAAATATTAACTACATTTAAATATTAACTTAAATAAGGAAATTAATCCATATAAGTTATATTTACGCAAAAATTTAATAAATTTTATTTTTCAAAAAATAAGTAAGAGAATTTAGAAATACATAACTATGTATTAAATTAATAAATAAAAAATTAAAAGTGAAGTAATAAAAAAAGGAAATCGAAAACCGTACTTAAATATTACTTCTTACTTTTATTACATATTTAGATTATTAATAAAAATAATTCAAATTACATTTTTTTAATTTACTTATCGTATTTTTGAAATAATCTTTATTAAACTGTTTCGTAAAGTAATTTATAAAGATTCATTTTTTTATTAAGGTCATTTTACGGAAGATGTTTACTATTTTATATTATATTATAAGTATGTAAAATATAAATTATAGAAAAATAATATTGTTATTCACATAATTATATTATAAAATAAAGTTAGTTGGGTCTTACATTGAGAAGTCGAATATAAAAGTGAGTCTCAAATTGAGAATAACTTAAAATGTAAACTTTATATTGAGAAAAAATAAAATTCCGACCTTGAATTGATACCATTCCACAAAGTCGGGTCTTTGTAATAAAATTCACCCCAAATTAACATCAAATGTGAAATTTATGGGCTCGCAGAGTTACCGTTTTCCACCCGTCAGGATCCAGGAAAGAAGTGATTTTAGTGTTTATTCCAGGAATCGGGCCTGGCTGTCGAGTTATCTTTCCTCCAAACTCCTGAGTCACAAGTTTTACAACCTCAGCACTCTTATACACGTCATCAGTGCTAATTGCAACCTGTAACCAAAGAAAATATTGCATTGACGACGAGGAATAAATTGGAGATGGATTTATGAGAAGAATGTTGTTAACAAAAAGCTTTCTTAGGCTAACCTGTGCATATGCATTTCCTTTGGTGTATTCAGTGACACCATAGTTATATGTAAGTTCCAAGACAGTGGTCTCATGTTCTTCGGCATATCCCAACATCGCTATCGTGTACTGCAAGAAATTCGAGAAATGGAAAGATTAATAGAAGCCCGAAAATTTTGGTATTCATCACAACATAATCCGTTAATTACCTTTTGTTCTGGTCGGTCAGTTTTCTTCAGTAGTTTCATTCCTAGTGCCTGCAAGAATTAAAATAATATTAAGGTATCAGCTATTATGCCATTTATTCATTGTGAACATGATAGAACGGTCCTTAAAGAAAAGCACAACCTTCTCATAGAATTTGATAGAACGGTCCAGATCACCAACACGAAGCATCACTTGGCAGAGAGGTTCAGGTGTGGGCCCACGTTGAATTATCTCGAAAAGGTAGCCATCTGGATCTTTGACAAAGGCAATAATAGACTTTCCACCTTTAACTGGGCCCGGCTCTCGAGTGACAGTACCACCTTTTGCCTTTACATTCTCGACCAATTTGTAAACCTTAGGTATCGAAACGAAAGAGCAGGAGAAAAACAAACGAGTTTCATCTTCTGGGCAACACAAAATCACTTGCATTAACCAAATAGGAAAAGTGGAAAACAGAACACTGATCAGTGCTTACGTACATCTTCAGTTGCAATGGCAAAATGTCCAAAGCCAGTTCCAATGTCATATTGATCGACTCCATAATCTGTTTTTGATGCATTTAAGAATGTCAAGAGCAACTACAAATAATGGATCAAGAGATCATACAAGAGTAGAGAGGCCTAATTAGATGGGCTTCAGTGTCTCATACACACTCAACTGATTAACAGTCACTCAAAAATCTTTCTCTTTACCTCAATTTTAGAACTGTAGCTAGTTTAGATACAAACGAGGAGTGTATGTAAGCCCCCATGATGGTTGATGGACATAAGGGGCAGATGAGAAGGGGAATGATTGCACGTATGGTACAATTGCATACAATTTATACCTACTGAGTACTACTAAAGTGAAAATCAATATTAGCAACTTACATAGAGTAGCTAAGACAGCTAAACATCAACAAAAATGAAAAATTCAACATACTATAAGTCAACTCCAAAACAAAGTGGGAGTCCTCCAGGCCAAACCCAAGAAACGCATTAGAATATTTTTCGTCCGGAATATCCCTCTTCCTCAAGAGCTTCATCCCGAAACATTCCGTGTAAAACCTATGAAAAAAAAAAAAACACGACCAAGCAATGCAGTCAGACAATTGAACCAAGCTGCATCACAAATCATAATTCACCTAAAATGCATATTTTTACGCCAAAAAAAAAAGCACACTTGATTGTCCTGTCAAGGTCTCCCACACGATACACGGCGTGCAATAAACGACGCTTGTCCTGTTTCGGCCACTCCAAAAGCTCGTTACTTGGAACAACCGGGTTCGGCCCCTCCGCCATTGACCTGATTCTGTATTCAGAATCAAATTGTGTTAAATCAATTTGGGTATAAATTCAAAACGAGAAAACCCCAAGTAAATTCACACGCTATGTAGAGTGAGTGTAGCTTGTTGTAAGAGATTAAGACAGACAGCTTATGGAATGGCTTCACGGTACAACGCCGCCCAGAGAAATTCAGGGACGTCGATCGGAGACGAGGCCAACACAGCCGCTGATAAGCGCCGAATTGTGCGGCTGTAGCGAAGGGCCAGAAAACTGTTATCCACACTCATAGGAAAACATGGAACTACAAAACTAAAAATTAAACAAAATAACGAATTGGGCAAGAAAAAAGACGGCACCTTTGGTTAGCCCAAGAGCTGAGGATAAGGAATAGCCACGAACGGCAGATGAAGTAGAGACGGCAACCGCCATCGCTGCGCCTCTTTTGAGTATTGCACAGTGAAGTGAAAATGTGCTTTCAAACAGGAAATTTGGTGCGAATTCTGGGTTTTTGAGGTTATCGGCAAACCCAAACGAAAATGGCAAAGGATTAAACTGTTTTTGTGGTGCGGTAGACCGTAGACGGAGTATGGTCTGCAGGGATCGGATGGAAATTTTGGGTACAGGGATCAGATGGAACCGACTAATCTAGAATCAAGTCGGGTAGTACCACAAGGGCGGCTCGAGTCGGGTAGGACCACAAGAGCGGCAAAGGTCTCCATCAAAAGTTTTAATACTGTTGCATCCTCAAGGCTCGAACACGAGACCACTGATTAAACTGGAAGAGACCAAGCCAGTCATCTAAGCACTCTTGGGTTGGTTTTGCTATATTTTTTATAATAATGACATGGCCTAGCCTCACTAATAATAATTACATAATTATCCTTGAATTTATTTGGATTTGCTTGATTGTGGAAAATGCTACGGTCACGTTACGGATCTATTCCGTCGGGGTTGTAGCCGTTAGATTATCATGTAACCGTCGGGGATAGTTGATCTAACGGTTACAAATCCCGACGGAATGGTTCCGTAGCGGGACCGTATCATCTCCCACTAATTGTATGTCCAATAAAGTTTTTCAGCTTTGCCTTGTCATATTAAAGATTTATTAGGTGATGTAGTTCGGTAGTCTTTTTTTGCTGTAGAATGTTTTTTCAAAAAGTCGAATTGGAAACATTCTACAGCAAAAAAATATAAAGTACTACATATTATTTCTCAATTTAAATATTCAATTTAAATAGATAATGTAACAATAAATGTTATTAGGTGATTTAAAATAGTAAATGTAAAAGGATATCATATTTAAATATAATAATATAATTTTGTATTCATAAAGATAGAAAATAATAATTTTCTATGTAAATTATTAATTATTAATTATATGAATTTAAAATACATTAAAACTTAATATACGTGAGACACTGACTCTATAAAAGTAAAATATAATCACAAATACAATAAAACTTGTTTTGTTTAAGAAAAAAAAGAATCAAATATATGAAATTTTAAATAATATCAATTTTATATATATATAATTTTTAAAATATAATTAAAAATATATTTTTTTTTTTGGCAATTTAGTGTAAAATGCGAGCACGTTTTGCATTAATTATCACTTTGTTAGTTATTTATTATTGTTGCATATTCATCATACATAATTAAAAATGTGGATTATTTGAATTTTTATTGTACAAATATTAATATATTTAAGTATTTGTGTAGTACAGGGGAAAAACAAAAAACAACAGTCGTATCTCATTTCAACTTTCTTATACAATTCCACAAACACAATTAAAAACACAAATCAAACGTTAATATATTGAAAAACAAACTTGAAATATTTCATCATTTCACCCAAAATTCGCACTCATTAACTCATTAATATTTTTTTTTCATTGAATTTTTAAAATTAATCAATGTCTAATCACACATAAAAATAGATATTGTTATGGTAAGGCAACTTGTTTTGAGTTCAAAACACATACAACAATAGATGAAGCTTCACATGAACCATAATAGTAGCATCAAACGGAGTCTCCTATGAAGATGATGAATTGTGCAACCAAGATTTTCAATATCCTTCTTTCCAGTGCTTCCAAAATACCTCATGATTTCATTATCGATCAAACTATTATGTACAAGAGTGCTCTGGTTCTATTATAATGTCAAAAAAATGTGATGATGCATTTGTTTTTGCATATATATGTGTATCAATTGGCAGAGTACGAGATAACTAATTGGCTACATACTCGTCAGTTTTATATTCATGGATACTTCTCAGAACCATACTCAACACAATATAAATAGTTTTGTAAACAATGCTTCATGTTTAGGGCACTTACAAGAAGTAAACAGAGAATAGGATGTTTGAAAGGTACAAAGAAACAATTGGATCTTTTTATTTTTTCGTAAATATATATCCCAAAGGTGTTTTTCGCAATCATCCACTGTATTGATTGTTTTCTGTTTTCAGCTAATTGTGGCATAAACTCCAACAAGGTCATACAACATGAGGAGAATGCTCGAAACTATTGATATGGAAGGGGACACGGCGGGTCTAGGTATTAATTGGTTAAAATTTGGATGGAACTGTTGACATATTAGCCATTTTTATTCCTCCACACGCACGTGTGCCTAGAGCATTTTCGACACTTGAAGGTGAGTTCTTTTTCTGCATATGAGAAAAGGAGTAGAGAAGTTATGTGAGAAAAATGTCACAATATCGGTAAATTATAACTAAATCAAGCAGCAGTCTTTTTCACTTTTTTGTTTTAGTTATGTGACATTCAATATAATTTGATTCATTCTCTAAGATTGTTGCACCATATGCCCTGGTTCTGCATGTGTCCTTTCTTCAATTATCTAAAACCTGCAATCAACTTCCAAAACACAATTAAAAATTATGTGGTCAATTTATGTTGCAAAAACTTATAGATTTAAGACAATAATCGCTGACCAGTACACACCTCGTTCAAACGTCAAGAAAACAAACAGTGTCCATTTTTTTCTTCATTTTTCATCAATTAATGTTCATTTTATTTTATCTAATAATGGTTATTATTATTCTTCAGGCATGATCGTCCGCTACCTCTTTGCCTCATCGGGTTCAGGGAATGAAAACATCGTGAAACAATCGCGTGGTCTCTTAAAGCTGCGCAATTGAGTTCTTGGGGTGATTTTCTTGAAACTAATCCCCAACTTATTTAAATTTAACGAATCAAACTATCGGCCGTGCAACTGAAAATAAGAAAATTTAGTCGGTAAGAGAAGCTCAAAAAGCTACCATACGACAAATTGGGAGACACATCTACGGTCTTTTTGTACTCTTAAATATCTGGATGATATTCAAAACCAAGGCAATTTATATTGAGAGTATTCTTTTGTTGTTGCATGTTTGAGCTCAAAAAACTACATTTGTTTCTTGCTATTTTTTTTTTGTTTTTTTTTTCCATGTGAATGTACCTGAGTCAAGTTCATTATTTATTATTATGACTGAATAATAAAACTCATTAATAATTTTTATGACTAAATAATAATAAATTAAGAGAAGAAACAAGTTAACACCCATACCATCTTTACAAGGCAAAGTGGTTATCACCCATACCAATTGAGTATCAAAAAGTGGTTTTTACCTCAAGAAAACATACAACCAGAACAAAGAGAAGATAAACAAAGTTATCCTCAAAAGAAAAAACCTACCCACTCAACAATTAACACCTAGAAGAAGAAACAAAAACAAAGGAGATAAACAAAGATATCCCTAAAAAAAAGATAAAAACCCTACCCACTTAACAGTCATCTAGAAGAAACAGAAACAGAGTGGTGCAAACAAACTATTATCTACTTTGGCAGCAACTTATCAGTAGGATGAAAGATAGGAGGTTCTTCATTATCCAGCACAACCAAGGACTCCGTCATGCCCTTAACCCACAGCACCCTCTTCCCAGTACGCAAAATCGACTCGCCAACCATCAAATTTCACTCCAGAAGCTGTCCTCAATAGCTCACCCGAGGATGAAAATGGAATATGAATCTCCTGGATTCGCAAATACATTGAACCCATATGATGGTAAAGATAGATGACACAATCAAAATACGATTCCAACTGACTTAATGTCATTAATTTATCCACAGGGATTTTAAGAAAGCTGTTTAAAACAAGATCATTGAGCTTTTTGGTGGCTAGCAAGAATCGGACAGGCTTCGAAGTCAAAGAAACACCGTTTTTTGTGTATTGGCAATACCAATGCACAACCACAGGTAAGAAATTTTCAAATTGACATTTAAATCAAGAAATACATTTGGGAAGTAAGACACCAAAAAACGGACAGTTATCCCACCAGCATTAAGTTCAATTTCAAATAACATTTAAAAGGATCACCCTAAAAAAACTCAAGTGAAGAATCAGAGAGAAGGTTAGCAGCAGCGAAATTAGAATTACTAGCAGCAAAGATACGTTTGATAGAAGACGCAGAAGGAACCCTAGGTTTTCCAAATTTTGGAGCATTAGCCAATCTGTAACTGGATAAAAACCTATTTGGAACCTTAATCCTAAGCATCAAAGATGAGTTGTTTTGTTCAAGTATACAAGTAGGAAAATAACCAAAAACAAGAACATAATTTTGTGAGGGGAGTAACTTGTCTAGAGCATAAGAATCCACAGAATCCTCATTGAAAAATCCTCATAGGATAGAACAAAGAGCAGCAGAAAACAAACAAACAATAAGGGCTAAAGTTGGAATAGAAACTAAGAATGCGAATTTTAATGAGTGGAGTAGAGAAACAACATTGTGAAGAAACATGACGATAACAATAGTTTCCAGAGGAGAAACGTAGAGTATAGAAACGACCTTGTGAAGAAACATGACGATAACAACAGGTGCCAGAGGAGGTGCTAGAGGAACGTAGAGTAGACAAACAACCTTCTGAAGAAACAAGACGATAACAATATGTGGTAGAGGAGAAACGTGCAGAAATCAGCGCATGTGGAGAATCACTAGGAGACGAACGCATCAGAGAACTCAGACTCGAGGGATTACCAGAAGTCAACGGACGAAATCAAGTAAAAAGGCCACCAGAACAAGCAAACGGACGAGATGGATGAGCAGATAGCCGTGGAATCGTATCCAAGGGAAAAGAACAACCAAAAAAGGGACTGGGTGCCGCATTTCTCACTGAACCAGATCGCGCCCAGAAAGAGCAAAACATTCTGTAATGGTTTGATTGTTGCCAAAGAAAACGATAGACTACGAGTTTTAGGGTTAATGTTGTTATGGATGGGCTGGGGTTTAAGGGAGGGTTTAAGAAGTGGGGTTGGATTTTTTGAAAAATAGGTGGGCCTGTGGAAAAATTAATTATATAAATAATAATCATCTTTTCCGAATTTTAACTTCTAGAATAAGTAGTCTTATCGTCTAGTTTGGTAAAGTTTT